AAAAAATGTTTGGCAGTTTCTTAAAAAGTTAAATATATGATTTAGGTATTTACTCAAGAGAAATGAAGGTGTATGTCTGTACAAAGACTTATACATAAATATTCTTGATTTTTTTTGCATATTTATTTGTGAGACCTCAAAACTGTAAACAATGCAAGTCCACCGGACAGATGAATGGATAAACAGATTGTTGAACATCCATCCAATGGAATGTGACTCCAAAACAAAGAGAGATTATTCATAGACCCTCTATTTGGGGTGAATTCTAAAGTAAATATGTTGAGTGAAAGCAGTCAGATAAAAGTATACAATACTGTATCACTCCATTTTTATAAAAATCTAGAAAATGCAAACAAATCTATAGTGACAAAAAAAAAAAGATCGGAGGTTGCCTGGGGGAGAAAGGTTTTGGGAAAGGAGCAAAAGAAGGGAATATCAAGGGACGCAAGCAAATTTGGGGGAGATGTTAATGGTCTTTTGAATTCAGCTGAGAATTCCACTGGTCCTGAGCCATTCTTTGTCTGGAAGGTTTTCATTACAGCTTCAATGTTATTGTTTGTTATTGGTCTGTTTAAATTTTCTGTATCCTCTTGGTTCACTTTTGGTATTCCATGTGTCTAGAAATTTATCATTTTCTTCTAGGTTTTCTAATAATTTTGAAATTAGTACCTAATGATCCTCTGAATTTCAGTGGTGTCTAGTATAATGTCTTCTTTTTAATATTTAATTTGAGTAATTTGGGTCTTCTCTTTCTGTTGGTTAGTCTGGCTAATGGTTCATAAATCTTGTTTATTTTTAAAGAGAACTGGCTCTGTTTCATTGAGCCTTTTAATTTTTCTTTTGCTTTCTATTTCCTAAACTTCAACTCTGATCTTTACCATTTCCTTCCCTCTACGTGTTTGGGATACTTTTGCTCTTGTTCCTGAAACTTCCAATGCATCATTAGGTTGTTTATTTGGGGCCTTTCTGACTTTTTAAATGTAGGCACTTACAGCCATAACTGTTTCTCTAGAACCGCTTTCACTATAGCTCAGAGATATTGCTATGTTGTATTCCTATTCTTGTTTGATTCTCAGAATTTCTAAAATTTCTCTTCTAATGGAAATGCAGGGGAAGCCTGGAAGATGGGGCCACAGGGATGGTCCTGGAACTAGGCATCACTGAGACTTGTCCATAGGAGGCTTTTAGGTGCGTAAGGCCCTCAGGAATGGTGACCCAGCACTGGGGTGAGACTGGGTCCCAAATCCACAGATGCTAACATAGAGATTGGATCCATGTGTACTGTCTAATGACTGGGACTTAAAGGGCCAGACTGTTGCTGGAGTAGGACCAAGGCTCAGGGCCTATCAGGCCTATCTGATGCTGGGACCAGTCTGGAAGTTAGGAATGCGGAATTTATTGTGGCTTTGGCATGACCATGGAGACACAGTCTGAGATTTCAGGGTCCTATCTGAAGCTAGGGCAGGCTCAGTGCATGGATACTGCCTAGAAGTCTGGTGCTTCAGGGGTTATCCTGCCACGGAGGGTCCTAGAGCCTGTATGGGTAAGGACTAGAAGGGAGGCTGGGCCCACGAGTGTTGGAGTAGAAATGAGGGCTGAAATCCTAGGGCTCAGCTCGGTGCTGGATTAATTTGGAGACTGGAGCAAGCACAGTGTTAGAACCAACTGGAGTGTGGGTTCCCTGAGGTCATTCTGGCAGCCAGGTAGCCTGGGGGTTGAGTCCCAGGACACGTATGGAGCCCTAGGTTACAACATTTGGCCTGGCACCAGGGGCTTCTGGAGGCTCAGTTCTGGCTTGCTCTTGGGCTGTGGGTGCCTTCTACATGAAGTATTTCTCCTCAAACTCTGCCACTTGGGTTGTGGAAGAGGTGACACACATAAAAATGTCCTTCCTACCCTCTTCAGTGTTTCTTTTCTTATTTCTGTATACACACAGGTGCTATAATCTCTCACCTGTCTTTCTTAGCTTTTGTGAAGGTAGTTTTCTGTGTGAATAGTTGTTCAAATGGGTGCTTCTTTGGGAAGATGAGCACTGGTAAGTCCTATTCCATCATGTTGCTATCTCTCTATTCTTTTACTTTCAACTCATTTGAAAGAAAAAAAGAAAAGATAGTAACATACACTAGGTCATTTCAAGATATCCAAATTTACATGTCTCAACTCACAACTCACAACTCTTTTTTTTTTTTTGCAGTGCTAGGGGTCAAACTAGGGTCTTACATATGCTTGGCAAGCACTCTACCACTGAGCTGTACATGACTAGCCCACAATTGACATTTTAATTTGCATTAATCTTTCATATATAAGCTTAAGTTATTAACTTCCTGAATTATTCCAAATTATTGTTTAACTTATTAAGTTCCTAAATTATCCTGACTGAATGCATTCTGATTTATTTTCTAAACTAGCAAATACAACAAAGATTTCAGTAACTGGAATGTATCCGGTGTGTGTGTGTGTGTGTGTGTGTGTGTGTGTGTGTGTGTGTATGTGAGTGAATGAAAATGCAATAGGAACTTACATTTCTTATATTTTAGATATATATCCCCCCAAATTTTTGAGTCTGTTTGAAGTGACCCAGAGACAATGCTGCCTCCTCACCTGACTTTTCTTGTATTGGCTATTAAATTCTCTGAAGTTGCTGCAAGAATTCTGACTTACCAAGAATTTTGAACGCTTCTTCTCCACCACTACTGCAAAAGTTCCTGAGAAGACGAACTGGAAACAAAGACCACATTTGTCAATACCTAATCATTATGTTCACATAGAAACTTAAAGAGTAAGAGAATTCTGGAATGCTGTAACATGAGGGATTTCACCTTAATTCTTTGGTGGGACCCTTGATAAAGTCATCTAGGAAATAATTCAAGGGTTTTCTGTTCACAAAGATGGGGAGGGCCATGAAGTCTCTGGTCACTAGTGTAACTCATATACTGGAAATGGAATCAAGAGGTACTTTGAAAAGACTTACGGGAAAAGGAGTATCAATGTTTAATTAATTATTGTTGATCATAATTTCCTGAGTATATAAAGTGAATTACAACAAAATATGTCAATTAATGAACTGACTATTAGATGATATTATATCTTGGGTAGTCATATGCAAGTACTTTAAATATAATGTTAAAATACTTTATCGGTAGAAAGAATCAGAAAGCATTCAAGCTTTAGTTTACACATTTAAATAAATGGCATAAAATAAAATTTAGGTATATTGGTAATCTAAATGTAAAAAGTAAAATAATTAAGCTTCTAGAAAACAATGTAGAAATGTCTACCTAAGCTTAGTATGGAAAAGATATATTCAATTATATACAATAATTGTTATCATAAAGAAAAAATATATTAGACTAAATTAAAATTAAGAACTTATTACCTATAGATAAGGAATAGGGGTGGGAGGAAAAGGGAGGGAGAAAGGGAATAGCATGGATGGTGAAATGAGACCCTCATCATTATACAAAATACATGTATGAAGATGTGAGTTTGGTGTCAACATACCTTATATACAATCAGAGATATGATAAATTGTGGTATAAAGGTGTATTAAGAATTGTAATGCAAAAAAAAAAATAAGAGCTCATGTATAATGGCATAATCTGGAGTGAAAATACTTTATATACAGTGTTACAAAAAATGGTGTTGTGAATGGATAATTATGATGGTAATGCATTCCACTATTGTCGTGTATGTAAGAAATTAAAAAATAAATTAAAAAAAGAACTTATTTGAATTGAAAGACACCTTCAAAGGAGAGAAAAGACTCATTCAACCGTGCTGTAGCCAACAGATTGGAATGGTGTCAGCCACCTAGTGTAAAGTTTGAAAAGATGTTGGTAAAATAGAAAGGGAACAGAGCTTGCATCTAGAATATATAAGACACTATAGTAACCAGTATGAAAATAGAGACAACCCTATAGAAATAGTGTATAAGCTTCTTAACAAAAAGGTACTTAACCAAAAAGTATGTCAAAATAGGCAACAAACAAAAGAAAAAATACTTTCATCAATCAGCAAAGCAAAGTAAAACTACAAATTAGAAGAATTGACCAGGATGGCTAAACTTAAGAAGACTAACAGTACAAAGTTCTGCTAAGGATATGGAACAATGGTAATTCTCTTGATATGCTATTAGGGATACCAATTTGTAGAACTACTTGGGAAACTTCAGCATATACACTAAAGTTGAGTATGCAAATAACCTAAGATCTTATAATTCCATTTTTGCATATATGTCTAAAAGATATATCTCTATACGTGCAACTAAAGACATGTACCTGGAGTACTGTAGTATTCCAAACTAGAAGCCACTCAAATGTCCATCCATTAGATTAAATAAATTATAGCAGATTAATAAAATAGAATATTAATACCAAAGGTACACCTTATAGTAATTGGGGCACATGGCAGCAGGAGGTTCGCTCCAAAAGGCTTGTGTAGCTCTGCCTCTATGGCTTTGCTGGTTGCAGTACACTTTGCCTCTCTTGGTTTGTCTCTGATTGATTCCTGTTGCTCTCCTCAGCAGACATTCCATAGTACTGGAACTGCTTAATCTCAGAGGTCTCCACCTTAGCATCACAACACTTTACCGTGTCTCCCAGGTTTCCTTTGAAATTTCAGTGGAAGCCTCTATAACCCCCTAACTCCAGCATTCTGCATTCCTGGGGAACCAGCACCAAAGTCTGCTGCCATCTCTAGTAATAGTCGAGCCTCTTGGGACTGCAGCTGCAGCAATCTCTGAGTGCATGGGTAGCTAAGCCAGGTGAAAAAACTTCCTGGAACCCCTTATGTAAACAGGTACTCCAAATGTCTCTTCTTAAAATTTTTCCTTTCATACCCTTGAACTTGAGATGGGTGTGGGTGTGGGAGGTGTTTTTCTTTAGTTCCACTATTCCTAACAATTTTTCTGGCCAAACTGCAAGGTTTTCAAATCTTTCTGCTCCCGATTATCAAAATAAACTTGGCAAAAAGGTGCCAGCAATACAATGTCACTGCCTAAAAGTCATGCTACCCAGAAATTTCTTCTGCCAGATTATTTAGTACATCACCTTTAAATTTAGCATCACAGAAAGTCTCAGGACATGGAGACAACTTCTTAACCAGAATGTCACACAAATGTTCTTTATTCCAATTTCTAATAGTCCTTTCCTCTGAAACCTCTTGAGCCCAGTCTTTACTGTCAACAGTCCTATCAGTGTTCTGGTCTTTCGAATTTCCACTAGAATTGCCCATTTAAGTCTATTTACAGCATTCTAAAGCTTTTCCACCTTGCATTGCTAAACTTTCCAAAATTCCTCCCACAAATTCCAAAAAAGCTCCAAAAGCTTCTGAACCACAGCAACAACCTCACTCTATATTTTGTTTTAGTCAAAATTTTCCATTGCTGTGACCAAATGACCTGACAAGAACAATTTTAGAGGAGTTGAAGTTTATTTGGTGCTCATGGTTTCAGTGGTCTCTGTCCATTGACAGCTGACTCCATTGCTCTCAGTCCAAGGTGCGGCAGAACATGATAGTGGAATGGTGTGGAGGAGAAAAGCAGATCAGGGTTTGACACCAGGAAACAGAGAGTTCCTCTTACCATGGACAAAATATAAACTCCAAAGGTGAGTCCTAAACACTCACCTCCTCAAGTCACACCCTACCTGCCTACAATTATTACCCAGTTAACTGATTAACAAGTGGGATTACTGCACTGATTAGGTTAAGGCTCTCATAACCCAATCATTTTACTTTGAACATCCTTGCATTGTCTCATACATAGGATTTTGGGGTATATCTCACATATGAACCATGATACTTCTATAAGTTTAAACCAAATTCCTGGTACTATCCTTAACTTCTTTCACACTCCACACTCGACCTATCAGGATGTTCAATTGCCTCCAACCCAACAGACATCTAAGTGTTACTTTTACCAACTTTGTTGCTACAAAGCTTGTCTGAATCTCCTATGAATTTTTGCAATACCTATCTGAAGGATCTCCATGATAGCCTCCTTTCTTCAACATAGCAAACAAAACTTATCCTTTAAAAATTTGAGTTGTATTATTTAACTATATTCATAGAACACATAGTGACTCCAATTTATCACAGTAAATAACTAATCCCTTACAATGGCCAATAGACCCTGGTATTATCAGGCCCTTCATTAATTTTCTGATCTCTTCTTTATTATTTTCTCTTGATCACTTGGCTTCTACAATACTGACCTCCCTTTCCTAGGAATACTTCAGGAACAGCCATCAAAGACTTTTTCCTGACTATTTCCTCTCCTGGAAAGAGTCTCCACATATCCATGTGGACAGAATTTTTCAAATCTTCATTCAAACCTCACTTTGATAGTTTAAATTATTGGCTACAATTCTTTACTTTCAAGTAATAGCAACATATGTACATTTCTTGCCAGGTCTCATGGTTGCTGGACTCTGATTCCCTGCCCCTTGATCTACAACTTGACCATTTTATCTGCTTTGGCTGGGATTTTAGTAGCCATAATCCAAGGGGAGGCATGAAATATTGTTGTATGATGAGTCAATAGATTAATAATAGCCACTTTTCCCCCTTAGGTAAATTTAACTCAATTATCTCTCCAGTAAGTTTCCAGTAGATAAAATATCTACATGTGATAAGATTGTCCAGTGGAACAAAGGAATCATACATCTAATTGGAATAGGTCTTACACCAGTCAGAGGCTGTGTATCTTTTAGTGCCTCATAAGTTAGCCTCAGAGTCCTACTTCAACCTAATTTAACCTAATTTTAAACAAAAAGCTGTATCCCTTTTTCACTTTTCCAGAAATTCCACTCTTCTCTCTTTTTTTCCCTTCTATAGTCTTATCATATTCTAATGTACTAACCTCTGTTAGGAAAAAAATGGTTCAAGTCATGTATAACTAAAAAAAAACAATTAAAAAATAAGCCTATGGTTTTCTACTCTGATAAAAAAATAATTGATACCATTGTTTTATTTTTTGATTCATCTTAAGGAGAACAGTGACTGATAGTAGTAGGTCCTCAATAAACACTGGTCAAATAACCAAACTTCAAATGTACTATTATTATCATGAGTTTCACTCAGTATTTTGTAGAGGATAATTGAACACATCACATATCATGATATCCTTCTTTCAGGATCTCCTTATTTAATGACAATGGCACATCATTCATTATTCTATCATACAAAACAAAATTCAATTCAATTCTGTTCAATTCTGTAAAGTTCTTTTTGGACCAACAGAAAACAAAGATTTCACTTTTCTTCCTACTCAAGATCTATATGTTACATTATTTCATCAGAAATGTTTTCTCAGCTTACTTGCCTCACTAGGAAAATATATACCATATGGGTGACTAACCATTTTCTGTCTTCCCCAAATGCCTCTTGTGCACCTTATCATTGCATCTAATGTAAAAGTGGCCTTTTAACAAAATCTACTCTTATTTGAAAGCATATCAATGACAAGAATCTAAGCTTTTTATATTGATGTAGTCATGTTCAACTGGATGTAAGAATGAATTTCTTGAGAATAGGGATTTTTGTGTTTTTAATTTTCTATCTCTGGCACACTGCTTGTCTCAGAAGCAGTCAACAAATGTAATGAATAAATTAATGATTAACTATCAGGGATTAAATTATTTACTCACAGACAAAGATGACCAAAATGGATATCCTGTTATCAGTGCTAAAGGCAGGTATCCTTTTCCAAATGTCAGAGTTTGTGTTAAGAACATATACAGCCAGATTATTCCCAGGTTGTTATGAATCACACCAGTCATTATTTGTATGGCCTGGAAAAAACCACCATCCTTAATCACTTACTATTTCAGTTCAACATTGGAAAGAAACACACATCAAGAAACGGTGGGGGTGAAGAAGAAATATGATGACCTCACAGAATGCTCATATCTTACCTATTATACAACATCAGAATGCAGAGGTTGCTCTTGATGTTGTATGTATGGTTGTGTGCCATTCTCTCAGTGTGTCTTTGTATGACCTGCCATAGTCGATAACTCTCCTATCAATACAAAGGTATCCCTCATGCCGCACCTTCTTGTCACTCTCCCCCCAACTCCTGGTAGTTACTAATATGTTTTCCAGATCTATAACTTCTATCATTTAGAGAATGTCACATAGTGGAAACATTCAGTAAGTGCTTTTGGGACTTGCTTTTTTTCATTTAGCATAACACCTTTGAGATCCATCAAGTTGTTGTGTGTATTGACGTAGTCCATTCCTTTTTTATTTCTGAGTAGTATTCCATGGGGGTGAAGACTGTAGTTTGTTCAACTATTCACCTGTTGAACAGCATTTGAGTTTCCAGTTCATGTGCTATTATAAATTAAAATGTTATGAATAGTCATGTGTAAGTAAGTTGCTGTGCACACATCAGTTGTCAGTTTTCCGGGAGAAATGCCAAGGGATGTGTTTGCTGGCTTTAATGGCAAGTATGTGTTTGGTATTCAGAAAGACTATTTTCCAGAGTGGCTGTACTATATGTGTATTCTCACCATCAATGTTAAGATATATCTAATTTTTTTATATTGTCTCCAGCATTTGACGTTGCCACTATTTTTTTTAGTTGTTTTTAATAGACAGGTAGTGATAGCTTTTCATAGTCTGTTTTCATTTCTTTGGTGGCTAATGATTTTTCTATGTGCTCATTTGCCATCTTTATATCTTCCTCAATGAAATGTCTCTTTATATCCTTTGCTGACTTTAAAATAGATCATTTGTAATATTTTCTACTGTTTTGAGAGTCAAAAAACGTATTCTGGATATAAATCTTTTGCCAGATATATAGTTTGCAAGTATTTTCTCACAGAACTGTAGCTTGTCACTTCATCTTCCAAGAAACAGTCTTTCACAAAACACAGTATTTTAATTGTGATGAAGTTTTATTTATTTTTTTTCTTTGATGCATTGATTATACGTTTGCTGTCATATCTGGAAGTTTTCATTGTCTTCTAGTTACCAAATATTTTCTCCTTCACTTCCCTCTAAGTGTCATAGCTTTATATTTTATGAGGTGGGAGACAGGCTGAGTTGTTTTTGTTTGTTTTTAACTGATGACTTTTCCAACACCATTTGTTGAGGGAACTATGTTTCTTCCATTGAATTAGCTTTATCAAAACCCAGTTGGTTGTACTTCTGTAGTCTATTTCTGGATTGTGTGTTCTGTTCCATTCATTAATGCTTTTCTTGCTAGAACACCATCACACAGTCTCAATTTTAAATCAAGCAGTGTGATTCTTCCCACGTTATTCTTGATTTAAAAAAAAATAAAATCAATAGTTGAACAATAGAAGTAATGATAATTTTGGCAAAGATGTTGGGGAAAGAGACATTTATGCATTGTTGGTGGGACTGCAAATTGGTACAACCACTCTGGAAGACAGTATGGAGATTCCTTAAATGACAAGGAATAGAACACCATATGACCCTGCTACCCTACTCCTTGGGGTATACAAAAGAACTCAAATCCTCAAACTATAGAGATACAGGCATATCAATGTTTATAGCAGCACAATTCACAACACCCAGTACGGAACCAGTTTAGGTGCCTGTCAATAGACAAATGGATAAATTAAATGAGCTACATATATCCAGTGGAGTTCCACTCAGCCATAAAGAAGAATGAAATTATGACATTTGATGGTAAATCGATAGAACTGAAAAACAATATGCTAAGTGAAATAAGCCAGACTCAAAAATTCAAGGGTCAACTATTTTCTCTCATATGTGGATGCTAGAAGGAAAAAAAGAAGGGATCTCACAAAAATTGATTGGAGATCAATAGAGTAGAATGAGGGACCATGAGGTAGGAAAGAGGAGAGGAAAAGGGGAAGAATTGGGTAATGAAATTAACTAAATTGTACTATATGCATGTATGAATATATCACAATTAATTCCACTTTCATAGATGACTCTAATACAACACTTTAAAACCAAATAAGTAAATAAAAGGAAAGCAGCAGAGCAGAGGAAGGAGGAGGAAAAGGAAGGAGATGTACTGGAGATTGCAATGGAGAAAACTATGCTATAGGCCTTTATGAATATGTCAAAATGAACTCCACTGTTATGTATGACTGTAATGCATTAATATATAAAAATTATTTGTCTTAGTTTCTCTGCCTTTCCATATACATTTTAAATAATCTTATGAATACTTCTACAAAAGATATTACTGGGATTTTGATAGGAATTTTGCCAAATATATATGTTCATTTGGGGAGAATAAACATCTTATTATGTTGAATTCTGTAATCTACAATCACATCTTTCAATTCTTTCATCAGTATTTGGTAATTTTCAGAACTCAAGTCCTCCACATGGTTTGTTGTATTTCTAAGTATTTTAATTTTTGAGTAATTGTAAATAGTATTGCATCTTAAATTTTGGGTTCCATATGTTCATTGCAATTATACAGACACACAATTTATTGTTATATTGATCTCATCCTGTGACTTTGCTCAACTCACTTCACAGTTTGAGGAGGCCCTCCCCCACTTTTATTTTATTTTTTTTATTGTTGGGAATTTTCCTGAATCTTTAACCCTGCTGATTTGACTCCTAATATGAGCGGACAATCTCCACTAAATCTCCCAGAAATAAGGGGATACCTGCTCGAGTGGATAGGGTTGACCAGGCGAACAGTGGCGGGTCTAGGGAAAACAGGGCTCTCATGACCATCATCCAGAGTTCTGTGGCCTGCAGTTTATTCTAAATGCAGTTCCCACAATTTGACCATCGCGTTTAGGATTCTGCCACCAGTTTAGGGTTGAAATAATTTACGGTTGCAAAAGGAGATCTTCTACCCATTTCCAGACTCAGGGCATATTTTCTGAGGTTAGAGGCAGATTGGAATGGCGTGGGGTCATTTAAACATGGCTAATACGTCCCAAATTTCTGCTCTAACTTTCATCTAACATAGCACTTGTGTGTCCGGCTGCATGTGGAAAACAGAGATAGTACATAACCATCGTAGGGACACTTTCATGAACTTTCCTACATTTGGGGAATTCATAGAGGTGGTTAAAGCTTCTTCCATTTTATGTTTAGAAACGGTAACATCACAGTCACTTTTTCACTCAAGTGGCATTGATATCTTACCCCCAGTATTCTCATTTCCTCTTTTACTGACAGACGACTTCGAGGCATTTTTTCACTATGATACAACAGAGAAACGAAAAGGTAAATGTTTCTTTTCTGAGGAAAATATGGAGACAAGTTAATATTATTTTCTTGGGTAAGATACACAAGAAACTTGAGAGGAAATATAATCCGATAGCTACTCATTTTCACTACTTTGTAGTCACATGAAAGGTATTTTTCATCACATCACCAATATTATTATTTTGACAAAATCCAATACTTATCTTTCAAAGATGTCTTGCTCACTTATCAAATTCGACCATGCAGTCTTAGCAAATACTATATTGTGGCTGCCCAGATCACATCGACCCCTCTAGAAATTACCCATATCCCCACATTTACAGGATCAGAAACACTGGACTTTGGGTCACTCTGGTTTGTTCTATTACTCAGTGTTGTTGCTTTTTAAATTGAAGTCTAGTTCAGGAATGCCTGGCTGGAAGAATCCATATTGCACGCCTACATCAGCTTCAGAAGAGGCTGGAAAACAAAGTGCCACATACTGTACTTTTGAAAGGTGGGCTTTATAGGTTAGGGACCAATAAAAGAATATAGGGAAGACATTCAATTGGAAAAATTATGACCCACATATTTCCATCTTTAACCTTTGTCATTCTCTATAACTCACACCAGTCCTTCCTAGCTTCCATACTTACTATGGGCTGGAGATGTAGATCAGAGGGAGAGGGTTTCCTAATTTACCCAAGAACTTGGGTTTAATCCCCAACACCACCAGGGTAAGGAAGGGAAGGAGTGATGGAGGGAGGAAGGTTGAGAGAGAGGGGGGCAGGCAGGGAGGGAGGAGGAGAGGAATTATTTCTTGATCCTAACTGACTGAGACAAAAGTGACCATCTAATTCAAGATGGGCCAGGATATACTTTTTACCAGATTTTTGGGTGGCGGGGTTGGTTAAATGTAAGAATTAGAAGCAGTGGTAAGGCCACGCTCTTTTGGGAGTGAGAATAATAAAGAGGAAAAGCAGAGATGGAGAAGGAGCAGAATTCCTTATGTCTCTGTGACTTTCAATGTTTTAGTTCCCATTTATTTTGGAAACCTGACTTCTTGCTCTTATACTAGGTAAACATACCTGTTCACATGTTATAATAAATAAATCTTAATTTTGATAAACTGAGCAATGAATTGATTTTTTTTAAACCAGAGGGTTGTTTGTATGCTTTATTTCTTTTCTGTTTTTTAATGGCCTTCTCCCCTAGCTTCTCTCACATGGGTTTTAGGATCCACTCGCCTCAATCTCCAATGTCTGGTGGCTACGTGTTTTTTCTTCAGCACTTATTTATAGCCATATCTGGAGTCTAAAGACCTGTCTTCAAATTCTTCATTTACAAACTTTCCTTCTACTTATATAAACCATGAAGTCTCAAGGTTAAGTTGTCCGTGGGATGGCCTAGTGGCACTTGAAAATGAGAAAACAGAAAAGTGTAGGGGAAAAAGTCAAACTGAGCACAAATCTTACCAGTTTTTAGGTGACCTTGTCTATTCATTTACTCTGTTCAAAGGTTCTTTTCTCAGCAGAAAACAAAGTCACAAACGAAAACACCCACGGGATTGTACTGAGGAGCAAACAACAGAAACCCGCGTACAACTGAAATCCAAGAACGCATGTAGACAAAGCCTGCCTTTAGTGTGGTTCGAGCTGGATCCCTACACTGACTTGATCACAGGGTTACAGGGGCGGGATCCTGCAGGAGCTGCTTTTACTTCCAGATATTCCATCTCAGGCAGTCCTGGAAGCAGCACCTGCGCGGTGGGCGCTGCTTCCTCCCGGGGCTCATGAACCCTCTTGAAGGTTCTGATGCCACGGTTGTGGCCAGGAGCGCAGTTGGGAGGGTCGCTGCGCGAGAGACCCGCGCGCACGCAGCGGCAGGGGTTTGAGACTGGGGGCTCTGTATCTTCACCAGGATGTGTTTCTAACAGCTATTCTAACTGGGGTGACATGGTATCTCATTTGGATTTGGATTTTCCTGATGACTAGTGATATTGAACTTCTTTTCATATACTTGTGGGCCTTTTTGAGAAATGTGTCTTCAAGTCATTTGCCTACTTTAAAAATTGATTTTATTGCTATTGTTAGATTGTGTAGATCCCTTCTATATTCCAGATGTTAATCTTATGTTGGATGAATAGTTTGCAAATACTTTCTCCCGTCTTACAGGTGGTCTGGTCACTCTGCTGGTGGTTTCCTGTGCTGAGTATATTTTTGGTATCGTTGCCTGTATTTTGGGGATCTTATTTAAAAAAAATTGCATATACTAATGTCTCAAAGTGTTTCTCCTGTGTTTTCTGCTAGTAGTTTCATAGTTTCAGGTCTTGTGGTTAGGTCTTTGATTCATTGTGTGTTGATTTTTTTGTACCGGGTGAGAGATGGAGTCATTTTATTTTATGCATATAGATATTCAATTTTCCCAGCACCATTAATGGAAGAGGTTGTCCTTTATCTAATGTAGTTTTGGGTGTTAAAGTTCAGTTGGGTGATGTGTGCATTTATTTCAGGGTTCTCATTCTGTTCCATTGGTGTCAACTGTTATAGTAGCATGGTTTTTTTTGTACTTACTATAGCTTCATGGTATGTTTTGAGAGCAAGTATTTTGATTCCTCCAATTTTTTTCAAGATGGCTTTGGCTATTTGGAGTCTTTGGTAGTTCCATATAAGTTTTACTATTGATTTTTATTTCTATAAAGAATGTAGTTGGCATTTTGATGGAAATTGCATTGAATCTGGAAATCACTTTGGGGAGTATGGACTTGTTAGCAATGACAAGACAACAATATTTTGTCCGATTTGTCTTGTGTGTCTGTCATAATTTTAGTAACTTTAGCTTTGTAGTAACTTTGGAATTCAGGAATTTTTGTGTGTTGATCTTGCAGAATTATTTTGTTAGCTTTAGTAGCTAGCTTTCTTGTGGTTTCTTTTGGATTTTCTATCCAGAGAGAGTTTATCCCTTCCTTTCCAATTTAGGTACTTTTTTCTTTTTAAGTCTAATAACTCTTGTTAAAACTTGGAGTATGATGCTGAATATCACAGGTGAAAGGGGCATCCTTGTTATGTTCTGATATTTATGTCATTAATTTCAGCTCAGTCATTATTATTTCTTTCCTTCCACTAGTTTTGGGATGGTTTTGCTCATTTTTCTGATTTCTTTCATGACCATTCATCATTCAGAATTGCGAGGATGCGGGCAAAAATGTACACTCATATATTGTTGGTAGGACTGCAAATTAGTACAACCATTCTGAAAAACAGCATGGAGATTCCTCAAAAAACTAGGAAACCATATCCAGCTGTCCCTCTTGTTGGTATTTATCCAAAAGAACTAAAATCAGCATAATATAGTGATATAGGTACATCGGTGTTTATAGCAGCACCATTCACAAGTACCAAGTTATGGAACCATCCCAGGTACACATTCACAGATGAATGGATTAAGAAAATATGGCATATACACAAAATGGAGTTTTACTCAACAATAAAGAAAAATGAAATTATGACATTTGCTGGTAAATGGATGGAACTGTAGAACATAATGCCATGTGAAATGAGCCCGATTCAGAAAATCAAGAGTCCAGTGTTTTCTCTCATGTGCAGAAGCTAAAGCAAAATAAGGGGAAAAGTGCAGAGGGGGGTATCACCAAAAATAGAAGGGATATATTGGAGCAAAGGAAGGGGACAAAGAGGAAGGGAGGAAGAATGGGAAAAGGGAGGAACTATGGAATGAAATTGACCAAATTATGCTACGTACATATGTCAAAATACCACAGTGAATTTCACCTTGATGTATATCTTTATGTGTATAAAGCACTTTTTATAAAATATAAATATATGGAAGGAAGATCTGTGAAGCCAAGGAAGAGGATGGGGGAGGGAAGAAGGGAGGTAAAGAGAAAATACTAGGGACTGAAATGGAGCAAATTATATTTCATGCATGTGTGGTTATGCCAATATGAATCCCAATATTATGTGTAATTAAATGCACTAATAACATTTTTCTAAAAGCATATTTTTTAAACTCCATGTGTTTGTATAGTTTCTGTATTTTTTTTCTGTTCATGTCTAATTTATTCTGTAATGATCTAATAAGACACAAGAAATTATTTCAATTTTTTTTTTTGTATTTCTATGGCTTGTTTGCGGCCTAATGTATGATGTATTTTGGAGGAAGTTCAGTAGGTAGCTGAAAAGTATATGAAATTGCTATTGGGTTAAATATTCTTCAGATGTCTGTTAAATCCATTTGATCTAAAAATTATTTTAACTCTATAATATCTTTGTTGATTGTTTTTCTTGTTAGTATGACTTATTCATTAGTGAGAGTGGTACACTGAAATCACCCACTCCTATGGTATTGGGGTCTATGTGTTCCTGTAAGTCAAGTATTGTTCATTTTATGAAATTAGATGCACTGGCATTTGGAGCATAAATATTTACCATCATGATATTTTCTTTAAAAAATTATTAGTTCTTTGTAGTTATGTCATTATGTAGTTATGTCATTTTGACATAAAAGTGTGAAATAGAATTTGCTCTAATTCAGTCCGGAGAACTTCCCCTTTTCCTCTCTTTCTCTCTCTCTCTCACATTCCCTCACCTCTAATCTTCTGACCTTTCTGCTATTTATTATTTATCTTTAAATTAGTGCCTTATGGATATATGTAAAAGTGAGATTTACTGTGGTATATTCACATATGTACATAGGAAAGTCAGATTTATTCCACACAATCATTACATATGCTTTTTGAATTGTTCCCTTAACCAATACCTAATGATCTTTGTCTCTTATGATAAATTTTGGCTTGATAAGCTTTGTCATATATGAATATAGATACTCTTGCTCTGGATTTCATTTGCATAGAATATAATTTTTCCATTCCTTCACTTTCAGTTTGTGTATGTCTTTGCCAATGAGGTGTTTTTCTTAAAGGCAAAATATATATGGAACTTGGTTTATAATATAGTTTGTCAGTCAATGTCTTTTAATTGGAGAATTAGAACCATTTACATTCAGTGTTATTATAGAGAGGTATGTATTAATTCCTGTCATTTTCATTTTATCTTTAATATTTTATTCTTAATTCTCATTTACTTATCTATTCTTCTAATGAGATTTATTGTTTCATGTGTGCTCTTGATTGTGTTTATCTTCTGCGTGTAGAATTCCTTTGAGTATCTTCTGTAATGCTGGCTTCTTGGTCTTGAAGTCCTTTTGTTTTATCTTAGAAGGTTTTTATTTCTGCTTCACTGTGTATAGAAATCTAGGGTTGCAATTATTTTCTCTCAGGGGTACACTTTAAGTTGTTTCAAGTCTGCCTGGACTGAAAAATATTCTGTTGTTGAAATGTTTTGCTTTAAATGAGTATTAAGTTGTTTCTCTTTATGTTGTCCCAGGGTTCTTGTGTATTCTGATTCTTTTTTTTTTCTTTTAATTGTGACCATGTGTTCAGGTTACACAACCTTGTCTTCAGTCCTGAAATTCTGTCTTCTTCACTTAGTCTATTGGTGAGACTTTCAGTTGAGTTCTTCATTTGATTTATTGTGTTTTTCATTTCTGTTTGGTTCTTTTCCAGAATTTCTATATAATTTTTCATTCATATCCTGTATTGTCTTCCTTTTTAATACTTATTTTTTTAAAAAACTGTTTTTAGATGTAGATGGATACAATACCTTTATTTTATTTATCGTAATGTGGTGCTGAGGATTGAACCCAGTGCCTCACTTGTGCTAGGCAAGCACACTACCACTGAGCTACAACCCCAATCTCTTGTCTTCCTTAATTCATTCAGTTATTTGTATGAATTCCTTGATCATTTTGCCTCTCAATTTTCTGAATACTTTGTCCAATTTTTTTCTACTTTGTTATCTATGGATTCAGTTATTGGGGAGTTACAAACTTTTGGAGGCATCACGTTGACCTGTTTTCTCATGTTTCTTGTCATTCTCTGTTGAGGTTTGCATATCTGTTGAGATGGCTTTCTTTTTCACTATTGTGTGTGTGGGGTCTTTTAGTGAGATATTGTATCTTTACAATATGCATTGGGCTGTGGGTATACCTCAGTGTCAAAGCACCCACTTAGCATAATGTAAGCACTAAATTCATCTCCCAGCATCACTGTGAAAGGAGAGAATAACCACCACGAGCAATGGTATTTTAAGATTCAACCATATGTCAAAATATAATAAAAACTTATATTTGATCTCTGCAACTCCACTAACCAAAGAGAAAAGAGGATGAATAATATAGATTAGGTTGAAAATTAGGCATTAATGATAATGTACTTAATAATGAAATATATAGATGGAAAGGAAAAGAAAGAAGAGGGAGGGAAGATAGAAGAAATGAGATAGAATGGAATATACATGAGAAAGGCAAAAAGAGATATTGAGAAAAATTCATTTAATTGAAAAAAATACATATAATTAGAGGACAGGAAGAAAATGAAGAAAACAAAATAACTTATAAAAGCATAAGCAAAAAGTAATAACAACAACAATGAAAATCCTCATCTTGCTGAGATGATAAAAATGGACACACTTCTGGAGCTTCAGATTAACGTACACCAGATATGGTAAATTTGTGGGTGTGTAATTGCACATCAGTTTGTTTCTTCTCAGTTCTAGTCCACGCAGGCCAAACCTGATAGTTAAGTTTACAGGCTCAGCTCTACCCCTTCTTTCCCAAGGAATACTGTGGGAACATCCATTGCAGAGCCACTCTAACCTCAGTATTTCTGAATTTTATGCCTGGGGATATGGGTGTGGATATGGTAGGGCCACTGGCTTAGCCCTCTTGTCTACAGGGTCTGGGGACTGATTCAGTTTTTATGATTTCTTGCCCTACACCCCAAGAGTCAATCCATGTGTTGAGTACCTATGTGGCAGGAGACTGGAGTGGGGTGGGGAAGTATTCATGTTGCAGTGGTATTGAATCCTCCAAACACCTCTGAGCATGAGTCAGGTAGTCAGGCTCGCTTTGTCCATGTAGGATGATGTGCTGCAGGAGTAGGGTTTCCACTAAATCCAGGATCAGCGCTCTGGTACCCAGGCCACTCCCACATCCAAATCCTGCTGCTCTCAGACCTTGTTCTAAACCTTAGATTGCCAATTTCCAAGGACTGTTGTTATGCCTGCTGTAGCCCAGAGCTCCTCACAGGTTCATTCTACAGTCTCACTCCTGAGCCCTGGCTAAATTTTGGTCCAGGCATCTGGTGTCCAGTGAAAAAAGAGAGATTTCTGATCTTCTGCATAGAAAGTGTAGGAAAATGCAGAGTGCTAGTAGTCTCTTCTTTCACACCTTAACACCATGCAATATTAATTCTCTGCTTGGACTACTTATTTGCCTAATAGTAGAGTCTATTTTTCTTGAATTCAATAGGATTCCTTTTTTTGAACATCTAGAAAGGAGTTTCCCTTCCCTCTCCAAGTAGCCACATGCCTGGCACTGTATAGTCTATTTCTTTTTCTCTTTTATTATTCTAAAAAGCAAACAAAAAATATTTCTGGAGTCAGACTCTAGTGCTTTCCCAATACTCCCTTATCTCATGTGCAGTCACACAACTGTTGATGTCAATTCCAATCCCATTATTGTCATCAAAAACTAGAGAACTGACATCTTTCAACACTGATCCTTTTAAATAAAGAAACATAGAATATCTCTTCATTTATTTGGGTCTTCTTTGTTTACACTCAGTTCAATATTATGGGTTATTTTTTCCAGAAGTCTTACATATACTTGCCACATTTATTTCTGTCTCTTGTTAGCAGCATAGGATTAGCAATTCATTGTGATATATTTGGTTTATATTCTGATGCCATACTATTTATTATTTGTTTCCCATTTTTCTTCATTTGAATTAAACAGATATTTAAAACTTTATAATTATGAATTATAATTCTAGGTATATTTTGAGTGCATGAAACATTATCACTTTTAAAATTGTTCATAGCTGTTTATCTCTATTCATTGTATTTACTTCCCAGTGAGAAATTCATTGAAAACTGACAGGATCATGAGTGAGCTTAGCTAACAAGAGACAGTCTATAAACCAAGTACCTTCCTTCCCTTCTTCTCTTGGCCAGACAAAAGGGATTCTAACTGACAGTAGTAGATAACAGTTGTGAAACACCTTGAGAGGGCAGAAAACAAACAAAAACAACATCACATTTAAAAGAGAGTTACATGTACTAAATGGCATGATTAATATTGCTGAACCAAGTTTTCTGAAGTCATGTTCCATAATGGAAAAGAGGATAACTGAGTTCAGAACAGATTTCTGGGAACTTCCTATTGGGTAAAGGCAGTTTGCTTTGAAAAGCAAGTGAACAGATGACCCAAACAATGACAAGCAGATGAAGCGGGAATGAGAGGGGAAGAAAGACAGCAGAAACTTTCAGGGCAGAAAGGAACTTTAATGAGAAGAGGGGAAGTCAAGGAACAATGAAGGATCTCTGAATTGGTGGCATTTTGATTCATACTTGTTAAGTAGAAGCTAGTTCAGGTAGAAGAACTCAAGAATATGAAATGTGCTTTTTACTCTTACAAACATAAATTAGCTTTCCTGTGAATTATACATCATACTTTAAGTCTTTATAGACTGCACTCTGGAAATAAACTTTTCAATGCTCTTTTACAAAATCTGTGTAAGGGAAAGTTGAGAGCTATTTGGGGTACCAAGATAACAAACCCTCTCTTGTAATAATCTCATGTTTATATATGGAATTGCTTTCTCCATGGAGCCTAGAAAAATTTACGTAGAGAAATTTCTTGAATACTAAGGTGAAAAGTCCAACTTGTTTTGTATTTTCTTTTGCACAGAAATCTGTGGGCTTTGTACCAGGTTTGTTCTACAGAAACATCATTATTACCCATATCAGATATCAACACCAGTAAAAATCTCACATTTCTAAGGTTTTCAAACAGAGCTCTCTTCTGTTTCAGTTGAAATATCTTCAGGATTCAGAGACTGGAAAAAAAAATTAACCAATTACAAGTCACATCATGTTTCTTAAAATTTTATAAGAAATAAATAATTCTTCAAATCACAATGCTGCTATTTATGGAATAAGATCTTAAAGTGTCTTTTGTCTTATTTCTGTCTCATTATTCTCTCAGTCCACATTCTAAATTCCTAAATTGAATTGTTTGTAACTTTTGGTATTCCTCCTGAGTTTTTCAATTAAAATATTCATGGTCAGTTAGCAGGACCTCCAAATTCACCTGAATTTCTCATGATATTTCCCAACTATTAGCCATTCCTTCCCTCCCAGGTAAATGTCATTTTGACTTTTAGGTAATCAATCCCTCATCCCATTTTTTTTTCCTTTCTAGTTTCACCAACTGAGCTTGTATCCCTACTTAAGCAATATAGCTTTAGTTTTCCTGGTTTCAAATTTCGTATAAATGGAATAAAAAAAAGATGAATTCTTTTAATTCATCTTTGCCTGATAGTAGAGTCTGTCTTTTAATTGTCACAGAGAATTATAATAGAGTAATTTGCCCCAGTTTATTCACCACTCACTCGTTTTTGTTGTTTCCATTTTGGCAAAAAAATACTGTTATGTCTATTCTTGGAAATGTATCTTAATACATATGTGCAAACTCTGGGTGTATGCCAAGGAGTTAGATTACTGATCATATGATTAAACACATATTAACTTTTCATAGGTAATGTCTAAAAGGTTTTTAAAATTTGTTGTGAAAATTTATACTCTAATCAGAAGTATGAGATTTCTTTCATCTATAGTCTCTAATATTACTTAGAATTGTCAATATTTGGACACTTAGTTATTATGTTAGGTGTTTAATAAAGTCTAATTTAGTTATCTTTTTTTAAAAAATGTATTTGTTCTTTTTAGATATACATGACAACACAGTGTATTTTGACTTATATACTATATATGGAATATAACTTTCCATTCTTGTGATTGTACAGGATGTGGAGTTACACTAGTCATGTATTCATACATGAACATAGGAAACATGGCTGATTCACTACTGTTTTTCCTATTCCCATTCCCCATCCCTTGCCTTCATTCCCTTTGCCTAATCCAATGAACTTTTATTCTCCACGCCCCACTGGTTATATGTTAGCATCCACATATTAGAGAGAACATTTAGCCTTTAGTTTTTTTTTTTGAATTGATTTATTTCACTTAGCATGATAATCTCCAGTTCCATCCATTTACTGGCAATACCACGATTTCATTCTTCTTTGTAGCAGAGTAATATTCCCTTTTGTATATATACCACAGTTTCTTTATCCATTCATCTCTTGAAGGACATCTTGGTTGGTTCCATAGCTTAGCTATTGTGAACTGAGCTGCTATAAATATTGATGTGACCATATCACTATAGTATGCTGGAAGTTTGCCAAGGAGTGGGATAATTAGGTCAAATGGTGGTTTCATTCCAAGTGTTCTAAGGAATCTCCATACAGATTTCCAGAGTGGTTGCACCAATTTGCAGCCCTGTCAGCAATGTATGAGTGTACCTTTTTCCTTACATCCTCGCCAACATTTGATGTTACTTGTATTCTTGATAATTGCCGTTCTGTCTGGAGTGAGATGAAATTTCAGTGTAGTTTTAATTTTTTCTAATTGCTAATAATGTTGAACACTTTTTCTTATATTTTCTTATATTTCTTATATGATCATATTTCATTTCTGGGAAATACCTGTGCAGTTTCTTTGCCCAATTAATGATTGGGTTATGTTGTTGTTGTTAAGTTTTTTGAGTTCTTTATATAACCTGGAGATTAATGCTCTGAGGTTCAGGTGGCAAAGATTTTCTCCCATTCTGTAAGTTCTTTCCTCAAGTTCTGATTATTTACTTTTCTGTGAAGAAGCTTTGTCATTTGAAACCATCCCATTTACTCATTGATTTTACTTCTTGTGCCTTAGGAGTCTAGTTGAGGAATTCTTTTGCTAAGCAGACATAATGGAGATTTGGGCCTACTTTTTCTTCTAGTAGGCACAGTTTCTCTGGTCTAATGCCTAGGTCCTTGATCTACCTTGAGGTTTGTGCAGGGTGGATGATAGGGGTTCAATTTCAATATATTACATATGGATTTCCAGTTTTCCCTACACCATTTGTTCAAGAGGCTATTTTTTCCTCCAATGTATGTTTCCAGCACCTTGGTAAAGTACGAGATAACTGTACTTATGTGGGTTTGTCTCAGTGTCTTCTATTCTGTACCCATTGGTATTTATGTCTGTTTTGGTGCAAATACCATGCCATTTTTGTTACTATGGCTCTGTAGTATAATTTAATGTCTATATTGTAATGCCTCCTGCTTCTCCTTTCTCACTAAGGATTGCTTGGCTATTCTGGGCCTTTTATTTTTCCAAATGAATTTAATGACTGCTCTTTCTATATTTCTATAAAGAGCATCATTGGAATTTTAATAGGAATTATATTAAATCTGTATAGCACTTTTGGTAGTATGGCCGTTTTGACAATATTAATTTTGGCTACCCAAGAACATGAACCATCTTTTCATTTTCTAAGGTCTTCTTTAATTTCTTTATTTAGTGTTCTGTGGTTTTCATTGTAGAGATCTTTCACCTCTTTTGTTAGATGGATTCCTAAGTATTTTATTTTATTTTTTGAGGTGAATGGGATAGTTTTCTGATTTGTCTTTCAGCTGATTCATCATTGGTATATAGGAATGCAATTGATGTGTGGGTGTTGGTTTTATATCCTGCTGCTTTGCTGAATTCATTTATGAGTTCAAGAAGCTTTCTGGTGGAGTTTTTTTTTTGGTTCTAAATATAGAATCCTGTAGTCAGCAAATAGGGGTAGTTTGAGCTCTTTTTTTCCTATTCATATCCCTTTAATTTCTTTCTTTTGTGTAATTGCTAAAACTACACTGAGATCCCATCTCACTCCTGTCAGAATGGCAAGAATACAAGTAACATTCAATGTTGGCTAGGATGTGGGGGACTAGGTACACCCATACATTGCTGGTGAATGGGATAGTTTTCCTAATTTATCTTTTAGTTGATTTATCACTGATGTATAGGAATGCAATTGATTTATAGATGTTAACTTTACATCCTGTTTCCCCCACTGAATTCATTTATGAGATACAGAAGTTTTCTGGTGGAGTTTTTTGGGTCTTCTGAATATAGAAACCATTGCCAGCAAAGAGTGTTTGAGTTCTTCTTTTCCTATTTTTATACCTTTAATTTCTTTCATCTAATTGCTCTGCTTAGAGTTTCAAGGACTATAATGAATAATAGTGGTGAAAGAAGGAATCCTTGTCTTTGAATGTTTAGAGGGAATGCTTTCAGTTTTTCTCAATTTAGAATGATGTTGGCCTTGGGTTTAACACATTTAGCTTTTACAATGTTGAAGTATGTTTCTACCATTCCTAGTTATGCTAGTGTTTTGAATAAGAATGGATGCTGTATTTTGTCAAATGCCTTTTCTGCATCTATTGAGATAACCATGTAATTCTTGTCTTTATATCTGTTTGATGTGATGAATTACATGTATTGATTTACATATGTTGAACCAACCACCACTTGATCATGGTGCACTATCTTTTAAAAATGTTTTTGTAGGCAATTTGCCAGAATTTTATTAAGAATTTTTGCATCTATGTTCATCAGGGATATTGGTCTGAAGTTTCCTTTCTTTGATGGATCTTTGTCTGGTTTCATAGAATGAGTTTGGAAGGGTTCCTTCCTTATCTATTTCACGAAATAATTTGAGAGGTATTGGTGTAAGTTCTTCTTTGAAGGTCTTGTAGAACTCAGTTGAGAAGCTATCTGGTCCTATGCCTTTCTTTGTTGGTAGGCTTTTGATGGCATCTTCAATTTCTTTGCTTAAAATTGATCCATTTAAGTATTCCTCCTGATTCAATTTGGATAGGACATATGTCTCTAGAAATTTGCTGATGTCTTCAAGATTTTCTATTTTTTTAGAATATAAATTTTCAAAAGAGTATCTTATTATTGTCGGTATTTCAGTAATGTCTGTCATAATCTTTTCTTTTTCATCACAAATTTTTCTGGATATAGTATTCTTGGCTAGCATCTTTTTTCTTTTACAGCTTGGTATACATTATTTCAAGACCCCCTAGCTTTGAGGTCTGAGTAGAGAAATCAGCTGAAATCCAGTTTGGTTTCCTTCTAAATGTGACCTATTTTTTCTCTGGCTTCCTTTAATATTCTATCCTAATTCTGTATATTAGGTATTTTAATGTGGATTGGTGTAGGTCTGTTGTAATTTTGTATATTCTGGGTCCTGTAAGCCTCCTGTATTTGATTTTCATTTCTTTCTTTAGGTTTGGGAAATTTTCAGGTATTATTTTATTGAAAAATTGTGCATTTCTTTGGTTTGTATCTCCAAGTCTTCATCTATCCAGATAAGATCTTTTCAGGTCATCCCATATTTCTTGGAAATTCTGTTCATGGTGTCTTAATATCTTTTCTCCGTGGTCCCCTTTATTTTCAAGATTATATATTTTGTCTTAATTGCCTGAAATTCCATTTTCCAAGTGGTCTAGTCTGTAGGGGATGCTACAGAATTTTTATTTTGGTTTATTGATATCTTTATTTCAAGATTTCTGCTTGATGTTTTTTTTCCCCACAATATCTATTGAAGCAATCTTTCACTCCTGTATTTTCTCTCTGATTTCACTCTTTACATCAACCTTTATCTTAGGATCTATACTCCTTCTCTGACAGTATGGATCTGAGTCAGTAGAGTTTCTACCCCATGAACTTATAGAGTCCCTGAAGGTTTCCAGTTCTTCACTGTTTAGGAAGGAGAAAAATAATAACAACAACAAATGCAAACATATACAGCCTTTAATCAAATAGTTTCTGTTATTATGTATATAATATTAATTATCACAATAAACAAATGATATGACCAGTTATTGCCTACAATAAAAATAGTAGCTTTAGGGTTTACACTTTCAAATGGTTGACAGAGAACAGAAGTGATATAAGATGA